TTTACAATTTGAACAAATTGACGGCCAAATGGCCACCACGGCTCCGTTTGTCGTGCTGGAATCTGTACAGTTAGCTTTAAAAGTCCCCATGTCCACTTAGTATTTGGGTTAGGTGGATATCCAGGTCCCCATGTCGTCTGTATACAATAACATGTATATCCACGCATGGATGTCACGTCCGGTAACAGTCTGTGGGTCCAGCGTACTTTGGGTATGGTTTGTCATTGTGCTGCCATATTGTGAAGCTTTTGACTCTCTCTTCATTATTAGCTCTTATAGACGGCTCTGATAAATTGTACACCACCTGGATTTCAATGGGCATCATATTGTTTATTACTTCAGCAGCATCGCACTGATAACTCTGAGTGCCCTTAGCCTGTACACTGTGCTTATTTGTCTGGCATATGCCGTAATGCCTAGCGCCAGGATCTAGTTCAATTGGAGCCGCATATAATATAATCGATCTCATTACCTTTGCAAGTCAAAAACGCCAGCTGGAACGCAAGCAGCCTATATTTTTCATCATTCTAAAAATGGCGCTTAAGATTTGATTCGCTTTACCTGCAGTGTATTCCAGATGATCCTTAATTTGAGCCTTCATCTTATTATTACTCAAATATACAGTAGTTGTGGCTGTGAATGAATCTCACACTCCCATAGGGGGACAGACATATTTCCCTCCTCTTTTCTATTACTTATGAGCAAGACTTCTGCCTTTTGCTTCGCCAGTTCTAAACTTATTGAGGCGCAGTTCGTTTATGCTTTCATTGCATTTGCTCCGGAGGTCATCTAGGTGTTTAACCAATGCTACCAGAATAAGGTCGTCTGCGTACGCAATTAATTTAACAGCTTTTGCTTGGTGTCTTTTTAGCACCCCCTCATACATAATATACCATAGAAGTGGACCTATACCCTAGCCTTGCGGTACTCCACTCGTAATAAAGTAGCTCTTGGTGTCTTCATCAGTTTCGAATAACCCATAATAATTTACATAAGATCTTTAGTAGGTATGTATGTCATACAGATCCTTTATTTTGTTGCCCACTTTGCTGAGTTGAAGGCTCTCTTCACATCCAGAGTGATCAGCGCGCAATATTTTTTTGTTCATAAACCGTTTTAACTTTCTAATAATCCGCCTGCTTTCTATGTTGCTAATTCCAGGGGTTTTTTTACACTTGCCAATTGCGTCAGCATACGCAGAGCTTGATGTGATGAAGGTTCCTGCAGAGGCTTTATTTCTTTTAAGAAGTAGAATCAATCGCTGGATTTTCCATGGATCGACTAAACACGTATTGTACATTTTTGCGTACAGCTTTTGTTCCAAATTATGGCTTCCTTTAAGACTCTATTTGGTATGCCATCTAATATTTCCTCTTCACTACTAGCAGCGGCCCTACTACTTCGACTCTTGCCTTAAGGTGGTGTTTTGGAAACAAAGTATTGACGACATTTCTCATAAAAGATGCGCTTTTGGGTTGTTGTGCCTTATTTTTGAAATTGGACATGGCATCCAGTTTTTGAGAGACCGGTCTGAAATTTTCCGCGAGTCCTTTTCTCACTAAGAAAATGCTCATTTGTCGGAACGGCCGATTTCGGACCACCATGGGATACAGCTTTATTTTCAATAATCCAAAATCCATGAAGAAAACTAATTCACAGTACTTTCCAAGATCAAAATTCGAGATCACTTAATTACCATCCCTTACAAAGTCTTCAATTTAAAACATCATCCAACTGTTATAACCAGATTGGAGTCATTTACATTGCATCTATAGATAAGTATGTATGAGCTTTGAAAAAAGATTTGAAAACTTTCCGAATATTATTAATTTTTTTGTTTTGTGTTTTTTTTTTTTGTTATTTGAAATATATAATATTTGTTGTGATTAAAAAAGTGGAGGTTTTTCAGCTCACAACTCTGTGAAGAGTGGAGGTCTCGCCTTCTCATTTCAGCTAGCTTTCAAACGCATGTTCTTTGGCCACCCAGACGATACATGGTCTGGGACCGGAAGATGTGAGCTGATTGAGCCACATGTAAAATAATCGCTTCTGCCCACTCCCAAGTGAATGGCAATGAAAGAATTTTCCTCACTTCCTTGAGCAACTACATCCTCCATCTTCCGTTAATCAGAACTTTGTTTCGAAGACCCGAATATTTCTGCGAACTTTGAATAAAACCACAAAGCGAAATCGAAAATATAAGGCTTTTATATTTTTTAAGACTGTAAATTTACACAAGAATTTTTTTAGCTACACAAAAAGTCATAATTTGTTCACAAATACGTGCAAAACGTGATGAAATCTAGGTGATAACAGAAATCAAGCTAAATTGCTTAATTTACAAACCCACATACTTACATACATACATATGGTAGATGTACACATATGTATAGCACGCATAAATATGTAGATAATACTAACATGATATGTATTTATGTATGTAGAAATGTCGCTTTTATCGGTTTGTTTTAAGTTTCGGCATTATGTGGTCCACAAGCGCTACCCTCTCTTCTCTTATCACATAAATAATGAATTTATGTTTATGTATTTATGCAAGTTTTGTATCAAATTAAAATTTCGTAAGTTGTCCTTCAAAACGTTTGTTGACTTTTAATGCTTAACTGGCAAGAATTTGCTGATATAATTTGTGTGCGCACTAAACGGCTCCTATAAAGCCATATAAAGTATAAATGTATGTACATATTGTATACACATATATATTGTATATATGTATGTATGTACGTAGGCTGAAAACATTTTAATGTTTTGTTATAAAATCCGCAAATTTATGTACCGGTTAATGAACTTTGTCATGATCAAGTTTGTTTTTCAAAAATCAAAACCAATTTTTAACTGTTTTATATGAAATTTGAATTTTAGAAGGAGCTTGTATTTACATACATACATAGGGTTAATCGCGTTCACAAAGGGGAGTAAAACAAGCCAAACAAGGAAGAAACGTTTGGACGAAATTGTAGACTGATCGGGATATAAACTTACGTATATCCAGGAATATATCAAGTATACCTAACGTTGGACAGTTATACCAAGTAACATTTATACAAATAGGAAATACTCCAAAACGAACACGTTAACCGCACAACGTACGAAATATGAGGTTACGTAGGTTTCCTGGGATAAATGCGGGTTTTTTTCAGCAATTTTTTTTTCATAAAAAAATTAAATATTTTATTAGAATTTTATTTTGGTTCAAACATGCGCATTAACAAAGAAATTCTGAAATTTTTAGAAAAAATATTTTAAACTCGACAGTGACATTTCCGGTGGCCCCTCGGATGCGCCCGCGTAGGCAGTATAACTTCTTACAAGATAATTTTAAATGAAAAATCCGGGTTTTAGTTAAAACCTTAACGTAGAATTTAGACGAAGTGAAAAAACAGAAAATTATAATAGAAAATTGGGTTTTTGGCAGATATTTTTACAAACAAATTTTAATTTCAGTGAAAATTTCGCGATATTTTGTTTTCAAATAGTTGTAATAAAAAACAAATCTTTCATTCAAGTTTTTAAGAACTGTATCTCAAAGACCTGTGTAAAATTTCACGAAGATCGGTTGAGTAGTTCTGCCTTGGCCAACTTGGCCAACTTGCCAACCGACTTCAAAAACACAGTTTTGAAAAAACAAAACGTTTAAAGTTTTGAGTGACAATAAAAGTGGCCTCGAGCACACAAGTTTTCAAGGCTGTATCTCCAAAACTATTATTAGGGTTAACTTGAAACTTAGGATAATTTTGTAGAGGTGTTGTAGAATTTTATAAGATAATAAAAAATTTGTTGACAAAAATTAAATTTTACAATGCCACCAATTCTTGGAAACCCCATATAAATAATTTGCACCAAAATGGTTGTTGAGGGTTGATTACATAGTTTTCTGCCTTATTTGAAATTTTTGTGTTGACCTTAGATATGACGCAGTAGTTTTTGGTTCCTTTTTTACAACTTTTTGGTTACTTTATTCATAATTGACAATGTAACAATCTGTTAAATAGAGCATTCAAAAGAAACAAGAAATTAACAAGCCAACATGACAAGGGTTAATTTCATTCATTGTATGGAAAGTGAGCAACAGGGGCTGCAGTCTATCATTGAAGAGTAAAATCTGTATATGCGTGTGCAGAAGTATGTCTGCATTTAAAAAATCTTATATGTTAAGGACCTTTTGTCTATTTCACGGTCTATGACATCTAATTAAAGGTATTCAAAGTAAAATTCAATAGTAATTAACATTTTTGCATATTAAAGAGAGTGAAAACTCGATAGCGGAGTATATTTATCAGTCTTTGATAGGAGCGATAATTACTTTTGCAGGGAAAGGGCTGGAAACAGTCGTATCTGTCAGTTCCAGGTAACAGTACACTCTACAGTCGCATTTTCAAAGCATAAAATAAAAAAAAATCGCTTTGTATGGCAGCTATATGCTACAGTTGTCCGATCTGAACAATTTCGTAGAATATTGGAACGATGCTTCAGATAATAAGCTGTGCCAAATTTCATAAAGATACCTTGTAAAATAAAATCAATTTTATTACAAAGATTTGAGTTGGATCGGTCAGTTTGTATGACAGCTATATGCTATAGTTGACCGATATCGACAACTTCGACAAATGAGCAGAGTGCTCAAGACAAAAATACATGTGCAAAGTTTCGAGTCCATATCTCGAAAAAAATTGTGTCTATACAGGCGAACATGGCTAAATCGACTCAGCTTGTCGCGAGAAATATTTCCACATACATATATTTTACACTTTATAGCGTGTCCGACGTTTTATTTTCGGTATTAAAAACATCGTGGCAAACTTAACATAATCTGTTCAGGGTATTATATATCTACATATATAAAACATACTCTACACTTTACCATCTGGTCACTTTATTCGCTTTCATTCCACAACAAAAAACAATAAAACGATAAACTGGTCACCCTAATAAGTGCTGTGCTAGCAAAGCGAACAGCTGATTGCTTAGTTTGTTTTGTTGCTCATGTGTTCGCTTTTACGTGCTTTTGCATTTCTGGCACAAATTTCAACGTTTTCTCGGTATTAATTTGTGGTGAAATTTTAATAAAGACAGTATTTACTATTCCAGGTGGAAAAATAGAGTGAAATATGTTACGCAAAGTGCCATTAATTGTGATTTTGGGCTCAACCGGTACGGGAAAAACAAAGTTGTCGCTGGAATTGGCAGAGCGATACGGCGGCGAAATAATCAGCGCTGACTCTATGCAGGTATGTTAAACGTCAGTGCTTTCGCGACAGGGTTGTTTTATTTATTCAATTTTATTTTTGTGTATAAAGTATGATAATAGTGGAGAACTGTAAGTAAAGGTTAATATAATTTATTTTAGAGGATCATAGTTTAGTTTATTAAACTTAATTAATTAACTTATGAAATTTAAACGTATTTTTTAAAATTTTTTTTTATAAAAAAATACATTAAAGAAATAATAACCCCTGACTTAGTTAAGGGGTTACCTCGAGCAAAAAACGTCTTTTCAGCAATTTGGTTTCTTATATAAAAATGAAGTATTTTATTACATTTTTTTATTGTTACAAATTTACACTACTAACAAAGAAATTCCGATTTTTTTTGAAAAAAAAAACAAATATTGTGACGACATTTCCATTGGCCTCTCGCGAAAAAGATGCTCCCTAACTGGATGATCTAAAGTGAAAAAATTCCTTAATTTAGTTAAAGTCTTAACTTAGAACTTGAAGTAAGGAAAAAACTGAAAATTGTAGTTTTGGCGGACATGTTTACAAAAAAACTATAGTTTCACTGAAAATTTCGATATATTTCGAGTTGTAATAGAAAAAAATCCTTCGTCCAAGTCTTTAAGAATTGTATCTCAAAGAGCTGCGTGAAAGTTCATGAATATCAATTGAGTAGAGAAATCTTGCCAATCAGATTCAAAAACATACATATGTATTTTGTAGAAAAACGCATTTAGGGGGCGCACTTAGCCTAGCTAGCCTCGAGCATACAAGTTCTGAAGGCTGTAGCTCCAAAACTATTACTTGCATTAACTTGAATATTTAGGACAACATTCTAGCTGTGTTGTAGAATTTATTAAGACATTAATTTTTTTTTGAAACGCTTAAACCCATGAAATGATTCAAATGCCCACCAAGGTTACTTTTGCAGTAACGTATTCCACGAACCCCATTTTCGAGTACTCTTCCCACCAAATCAAGTCGTATGTCATGAATAGCTCGCTCAATATTGACTTAGAAAGTTTGAAAATAATCTGGTTTAGTACTAAAGTTACTTCAAATATTCCCACAGTGTTAAATCACAACTTCTTGGAGGCCATTCAATGTCTGAATTTCTTGAAATAATCGAATCTCCAAACTTTTCTCACATTAATTCGGTTGTTGCATGTGTTGTGTGGCACGTAGCCCCGATTTGTTGGAACCAGATATTATCAAGATCAACTTCTTCTAATTGCGGCCATAAAAAATTAGTTATTATCGATCTATATCGATCTCCATTGACAGTAACAGTGCCACCGGCTTCATTTCGAAAGAAGTACGGAACGATGATTCCACCAGACCAAAACCCGCACCGAACTGTCAATTTAAGTGAATGTAATGGTTGTTCATGAATAATTTGTGGATTTAGTTCGCACCAGAATCGATAGCTTTCTTTATTTACCGCACCACTCATATGAAAGTGAGCCTCATCGGAGAAGATGATTTTCCTAAAAAAGTCGTTATATTTGTTAAACTATTCCAAGGCAGCATGACGACGGTCATTGTATAGATGCAAGCCCAAATCATTTTTTAAAATCCGCCAGGTAGTGGTTGGAGACATGATCAATTCTTGAGAACCACTTGGAATTGACAAATCTGGATATCAACCATTGATTTTTTAAGTTTAGTGTAAAGAGAGTGTAACAAATTGCTTCTCAACAAACAGTTGGAAACAGCTGGTGATTTTCACATATGTACATACTAATATTATGCCTTTAGCATATATAGCAAGAGTTTTAGTTAGAATCCCGGTAGCGTCTTAACACCAATTCCACTTAGTATTTTCGAAAAATTTGCAAATTGGCATACAGTTAATGTAAACAAATTTAATTTATGGGCAACATTAAAACCGACATTGATTGCCTTAAATTTCTAATGAAGCACTTGACCACTCGGCCTCTGCACACATTTCGAATATTCATTAATAGGCCGATTAGTGGCAAAAAGCTACTAACCGTCTAAGTGACTAGGATTTAACAATTGCAAAAAATCGTCAGCTAATTGATCTTGCCAATTATAACATACATATGTTAATACATACATATACATATGTATGTGTAAAAATGTTCTTACAGTCGACAAGCCAATTAAAACTGCTTCGAAACACGAGGCATTTAATAAAAAAAAAATTCTAGTTTGACATTCATTATTTACATATATTTTATTTTTATTCATTTTCTTTAAAGGTATTAAGTATGCATTTCTATTAGTCAATTTGACGACCAGATAAAAGCGTTCGAAAAAGAAACGCCAAATAGCGAAACTGAAGTTTAACAAAAAGGCATAGACAATTAAAGATTTAGAGTAGTAAAACCGGCTTAAACTTTCCGGAGTTTATGCTAATTTCGCCACTATAATTATGAACATTTTACGTTTTGTATAAACATTTTAACTTAATTAAACTCGAAAGAATTTTGTGGAGCGAGAGTAACAGGTGACATCAGGTTCATTTCGATTTTTATAACCCATCAATATTTTAGTGATATAGTTGCTTTAATAGGTAGATATTCGAAAATATTCAAAATGAAGCGGCGCTTAATTCATCGAAACTCATATGTCGCTAAAACTTATTTGATCATCTTTAGCTGGGGCTCGTCCACTCAAACCGTACACGAACATGGAAATTGCAGACTTGTTCTCTATTTTTGGTGGATATATCGTCATATTAAATACCGTAATATACTTAATATACTGTAACAAAGTTATTTATATGAATAAAGCGAGTAGTTTGTAGATAATAACTATGTAACGGGATTTTCAATAGCGACGATGACATCATTTCATCACAAAACGACATGCTATCAAACAACCAGTCGAAATTATTAAAACTGACTACCGAAATTCGGAGTTAATGGCCTCAACTTTAACAGCGCTATGTCCAATTTATGGTCGTCATAATCGTCTTGTCAGATCAACAATTGATAGTCTAGTGTACAAATTTGAATCCACAGCCACAGTACAAAATGTTCCCGTGCCAGCGAGCCAAAGAAGTGATTGTAGTGTCGAGAATATTGCTGTCGCTAGCGCATCAATTGAGGAAGACCCAAATCAGTCTCACACGTCGTTCTCAAGCGTTGGGTATCTCTGTCACGCCGTTGTGGCGAATTTTGAGATTTTGGTATACATCCTTACAAGTTCTGAACTGAAGATGCTTGACCACCACAATCGTCGTATTTTCGTGAATTGGGCTGAGCAACAACTTGAAAATGATCCGGATTTTCATGGAAATCATCTTCAGCGATGCTGCTCATTTCTGGTTGAATGACTTCGTCAATAGGCACAATATGCGTTATTAGTCACGCAGCAAGCCACACGTACTCCATGAGTCACCATTGCATCCCGAAAAACTTACAGTTTGGTGTGGTTTATGGGACGGCGGCGTTTTTAGGTCGTACTTCTTTCGCAATGATCAAGACCGACACGTTACTGTGAACGGGAAACGCTACCGCTTAATAATAATGGATGGATGATATGGACTTGTGCAATATGTATGTGGTTCCAACAGAACGGTGCCACAAGTCACACAGCGAATATCACAATCGATTTATTGAAAACCAAGTCTGGTTAACGTGTAATCTCACGAAATGGCCCAGTCAGTTGGCCGCTTCGGTCATGTTATTGTTGAATATCGAACGTGAAATTGCAGCAGTATCGGCCGATATGTGCTTGAGAACCGTCGAAAAGTGGTTTAAGCGTATGGACTTCTGCCAACGTGCTCTTGGTGGTCATGCAAAAGAAATCGAGTTCCATACATAATAGAATCGAATGTACTTTCGCAGGGATAAAGAATTTCATCGATTTTCCAAACCTTTTTAAAAACCCGTTATTTCTTCGAAAACTCAATTTTGTTCTATAATTGATATGAGACAGAGAAAAGGCTGAAGGCATTGTTATGGAACTGCTCAACACTTAAATTGATGTTTTGACTACGGTGAGTTACAAATTAAGACCATGAACGACACGTCTAAGAAATACGGTTTGAGCGGGCAAAAGAGACCTCGTCTGAACATGCACATACAAAAGTCGTATTTCTCTCCAGAAAACGCCTCAAATAAGACCTCAGAAAGAAATTCAATAAATAATAAATAAAAATAATTTTTACCTTTTTATCTAATGTAATTCTTGAGATGTTCCACTAGCCTAGGGCCAAACTATGCCGGCTGGACAGTGCAAAAGTATAATGTGTTCAATGACATTTGTTTTTAGTCAAACTATAGAACTTAACTGTTTCTTATGTTTATAAATGGATTGATCAAAGTAACTTGAGGAGTATTGTCTTTAGCATTGTGTAATCAAGGTGCTTGTTCGAGTTGTTCTGGCAGAGCTCTTAAATTCAGTTCTTTAGGAAATATAGGAGAGCTCTGGAATTGAGTCTTATAGGAAAGTGTCTCGATAAAATTGTAATGCGTCGACCACAAGAAAAAACACAAACTGACTCCTTCCTATATGATCTAGATCCTAGAACTTTGAGAGTAGAATTTGTGTTTTATTTTCCCCATCGAAGGACCATTCGTACGATTTTTTTTACGATTATAGCTAAAATTATTATTRTTGTATTTTATTTATTAAACTTTCCAAACCAAAAAAACGCTACACGAATATTTAACAGAGCTTTAAATACAGACATTTATATAAGTATGTATATGTATACATTTATATACATATATGTATGCATGTACTATGTACTTTTCAATTAAAATACGCTTTTTTTCTTCTAATTTATGTGTGTGAAAAACTGGTTTGTCGTATATATTCTTCTTATATAAAAATTTTTGCTTTCATTAGGATAAAAAAAATCCACTCAAACCAGAAGTTAATTTGGAAATTTCGGGTTTTTATATTTGATTTGAAATGTTTATTCAAATTGTCACACATTTCACACCATTCAAACACGGAAGTGTTTTTATGGAAATATCATCTGAAGATTCAGTTCATACCTAAAACAAATTAAACAAACACGCACAAACGCACTGGCATTTATGTTTGTTATTTATGGGTATGTACTGGTTGAAGATGAGCAATAAGCTCAGCTAAGAGTTTCGTATTTCAATTTTATTTTATGCATGCTGACCGCTGACCATACTGAGTTGCACTATGGAATCGATCAAATTAGTCGAATTGATTGCGTTTAACAATTTCAAGCTTGTCTTTATTAGTATTATGTACATATGTATGTTATATGGTTAGTATATAAAGTTTATCATATCGAGCGTAGTCTGTCCAAACTACTTGTATAATGTTTGCGTATCAAATTCAATGTGTTTAAATCATTAACGATTTTTATGGTAGAGTACAAAGCCAAACAATCCTTGAAATTGTTTGTCCAAACAAGTTTCGAAACGAAAAATGCTCTGCAAAAAATAGTCTCTTACAATTTTTTCGTACCCTAAGTTAGGTTAGGTAAATAGACTGATATTCGTGAGACTACGATTAAACCCACTTGTCGCTACGACAAAGGGGCAAAAACTGTTTGTTCCGTCTTAATGGGATTTGGGTATGGGTGTCCCTTCTTGCAAGCTCATCGGCTTTAAAATTTTCGACGATTCCACTGTGTTCAAGCATTCAGACGAGTTGTATATGGAAGTAGCTTAAGCTCTCTCGGAGCCTCCTTGTATTCGGTTTCCCGTAGTCTGATAGTAACCTCCGTTGAAGTGCATTGCCGGTTTTGTGGACGGGTGCTATACATATATACCAGGTTAATCGTTCAGGCACGTGTTGCTGAAGACCGCAATTTGTCAATTCCTGGACGTTGTCATGAATTGGGAACGTCTCAAGCCAAAACCTTTTGAGAAAGGCTTTGGCCTTGCGTTCTTATACAATTTTTCTAAGTTAAGAACTGAAGCAATTGGACTACCGTAAACGTCGTGAATTTGTTGATTATTTTTTGGAACAGCGCGAATACTATAACGATTTTTTTAAGAAGATCATTTCTCCGATGAGGCTCACTTTCATCTGACTCCTGCGGTAAATAAACAAAACTATCGACAAAGAGGATCCAGAATTTATCCAGAAACAACCATTACATACATCTAAATTGATAGTAAGGTGGGGTTTTATATCAATCGTACTTTTTTCGAATTGGAGTTGGAAACACTGTTACTGTCAATGGAGAGCGGTATAGACCGATGATAACCAACTTTTTATGGAAGAAGTTAATCTTGACAACATTTGCTTCCAACAAGACGAGGCTACGTGACACAGCCACACAATAATCAAATTATAATTAAAATTTTTTAGATTCCTTTATATTAAGACACAATATCTAACGACTTTACTGAGCTTTACTGAGCGCCCTCAACCATAGAACAGTATTGGTTTAACTACGGTTTAGTAAAACCAAAGCACAAATCTAGGTCAGAGTAAAACATTAACAGCAACAGAAGACAATCAATGTCTTCCTCTCCTCAATATTGTGCTTCCATAATAGGTTACTATCAAGAATGACCCAATACTTCTCCTCATCGAAAGAGTTCGTAAATCTAAACATTTAAGGATATCTCTTTTTTCGTTCGTTTCTTTTAAGTCAAGTTTTTTTCCTTATGTACAAAATTCAATGCAAAAAATCCGTTTAAATTGCAAGCAACCTCTATTTACGAATATTTTTTTTTTCATTTCTAGGTATATGCCAAACTGGACATTGCTACCGCAAAGGCTACCAAAGAGGAACAGTCTCGAGCCAAGCACCATCTCTTGGATGTAGCGACACCGAGTGAACCATTTACTGTGGTCAGTTTTCGCAATGCCGCTTTACCAATTGTATCCTTTTTATGCTAAACCAATATATTGAAAATACTCCTCTGCAAACACCCACATTTGGATCATAGAGTGAGTATTCTCCAGAATTAGTACAAGTAAATTTTTATTCTCTTGCAAACTGTTGCTACAGAGTGTAATAGCATAGAGTATAAAATGTTCGGCTGCACCCGAACTTAGCCCTTTCTTACTTATTAATTATATGCATTTGTTCATACAATTCTTCAAACATAAATATGGACTTGTATATTTATATATAGCGTACATACATATGACATAAATAATATAACATAAACATTTTTATATAAAATAGATGTACATAAATATATACATACGTACGCACCCTTACCTTTTATTGCCTGCACATATTTAATTTCTTTCAATTAAACGTATGTGGGATAATTTAAACACTACGATCGAATAACAAAAACAACTTAATATCACCAATATTGATAAGATTCTCCCTAAACTTAGATTTACTACTACATATGTACATATGTATGTGCGTTCAGAACGCGCAGTTAGGAATCTTTGAGTAAAAGCAAATTTTACATGCAAAATTACATGCTGAAACATGTTTGCCAAACCAACACATTTGCTTTGCTAAATTGCATTTGCACACCTTCACTACTATTAATTAACACAGACTTTCACTTTACATTGACAAATTCTAATAATTATTAAATTATTTTCATAAAACTCTACTAAATTATTAATGTATTATTTTTCCACAAACTTTAATCGCGATCACGAACCGACGCGCACTTACCGACACACGACTATTAAACAGAGAATGTTAACGAATATATTCTATTAACATTCGGTTATTCTGTTGCACTTATAGTATAATTTTGTGCAGTGCTCCTCGCTTGCTTCATGATGGCGAGACAACAACTGCGTTTATATTATATGTGCAAATAAGTAAAATGTATTTACACTGTTGAGCATACTGTAACGACATTACAGGAGATTACTCGACAGGTTTGCTGTAACATAAAACGAACAAGTTACATACATTGTTCAAACGAACAGGGATAGAACAGCAATTCAACATAGTTTGTTAACATCAATGCTAGTAAGGAGTGACTGATTTGTTTTTATATCCTTGAAACATGTTGCAGTTTTTGTTCAGAAAAAAATTTCTATTTGACTAAACCAGACCGATAAAAATATATACAACTTTTTATATCCTTAACTTATTTCCTTTTTTGGCGATTTGTCCTAAAAATATTTATTTATAAATTAAAGCACTTAAAGATGGAATATTTAAAAATCATAAAAATTATTTTAAAACGCCATTATAGTGCCACATATGAATTCGTTTATTTTGGTCTGGTCAGTATTTTTTTTTTGTTTTTGTAATCTCTGCGGAATTCGTTGTCCCAGTTTTCCCAACAAGTCAACAGTGTATTCAAATCTTCAGGCATTAATCTGCACGCAACAAGAAAAACTTTTGCTTTTGGAAAATCTAAAAATAACGGGTTGCCACAGTTGAAAATTATTAATGTCATCACACACACCCATCCACGCACATCAAGAAAACGGTGAAATGGTGAAGTTGTACGCCGTGGTGACAGACAGCAGCAGATATGCTATTCCCATCGTGTGACAAATGTTGTCATACAGTGAATATAAATAAACAGAAACAAAAATGTGTGTACCAGAAGATTTTCCCGACGGACTTGTCACAATATCATATCTGAGTATGCTTTGCGTGTCCGCACATCAAGTGGACGGCGATGGCAATCATACTTGTGTACATACTTGTACATATAGGGTGGTTCAATCTTACTTAAGAGACCAACTTTTCAAATTTTCGAAATTATTAAAAGCGCTACGTCCAATCTATGGTTGTCATAATCGTTCTGTCAGATCAACAATTGAGTGTCTAGTGGAAACATTTTAATGCCCAGTCGTAGTACAAAATGTTCCCATGATAGGGCGGCAAAGAAGTGCCTCAACTGAGGAAGATCTAAATCAGTCTCTCAAGTCGTCGTTGTGGTGAATTTTGCGAAAATATCTTCGCCTACATCCTTACAAGATCAAATTGACGATTATTCAAAAACCCGTTATATACAGAACATGCAGAAAAGCTTTTATACCAATTGGATCAATTATCATACTTGCCACCTCTGCAAAACACATAACAAACTGCCACTTTCTGAGACAGCTTCGGCCTTTAGACGATCCCCAGATGCTGCTTAATAAAATCGTAGATCTTTTCCACACAAGTATTGCTGGAGCTATATATCCAATCTTGGTTTACGAAATAACTTTGAATATTTTCTGGATATAATATAGCATAGTTTTCCAAACAGTTTAGCAGGCATAAACTGCCAATGCCTGAATAGCATACAATTTAAAAAATATATAAAATATATGGACCACCCTGTATGTAGAGTACAGCACGATCACTTCAGTAATAGTTTTGCAGCATTTTCATCTCTCATCAACCGAGTGTTTCTGAGATTGTGGCGCTGACTTTGTCAGCAGATATTTAGTAAGCAATATTTTATTCTTAAATATTTATAAAAATGCAACAACAACATTTATGAAATTGGCTGTTGATATACATACATACATAGCTTGATTTGTTACAGTTTTTTAGGAAATAAAAAAAAGCAAATCTAAAACATACATACAACAAGTATTATAGTAAATTAAAACGATTTCGAATTTGCAACAATTAAAAGAGACGCTGGCGACATGGGCGCCAAAATTGGCTGAACTTTTAGTGTGGGCGTTGCTGTGGACTTCTTCGTATACAATATAGCAATTAGTTCATTTATAATATGTAATACATATATATTTCTTTATTCTAAATATGTCTAGATTTTTTCCACAAGTGCTATACAAATGTGGATCGCCCTTATTAAATTATCTTCCGATATAATATATATTACTCAATATAGGAAATATAAACCTTATAAAAAGGCCTAAACCGATGCTATCCAATTTTGAACACTAATAACGCCATGCTCTTGTTGAATTTTTCCTAGATATCTGTCTTATTGAGCGATAATATAATAAATGTTAGGTTCGGGCGATATACATACATATATTAGGTGCTATGGGTAGTATGTGGTAGGTAGGAGTGATGAACTCATGCGTTCAATTAGCGCATATTTTCCTCATTTTTTGTCGGGTTTGTAATTTTGATGGGCATTCACAAAGAAATGGAAAACAAATTCCGTATTCCCTTTTAGCTTGCAGCGACGACAAATATTGTTAAAAGCAGGTGAGTGTCAAAATAACCACCGAATGTAATACACTTCTGCGAACGATTTTTGAAGTCCTCGAAACACTTTTCATAAGCACTCTTTGAAATGGCCTTCAGCTTCTTCAGTGAGTTTTGATTTATCTCTTCGCTCGACTTTTCATTTCAGTTTGGGGGACAAAAACAAAATCACACGGAGTCAAATCTGGTGAATACGGCAGTAGATTGACAGTGTCCATGGCGCTTTTGGCTTAAAATTTGGTCACAAGCGTGGCTCGATGTGATGGTTCTTTATCATCGTGTAAAATTCTTGAATTGTTCTTTCACAATTCCTTCTGTCGCGCCGGAACAAATTCTTGTTGAACCAAACCACGAATATTCAAAAAAAAAAAAAAATAATAATAATAAACAAACAATGAACATCACCTTGATTTTCGAGCGGCTTTGGCGTGGCCTTTTTAGTTTCGGCTCGCTTTTTCTCCTCCATCCCGATGGCTGTTGACTTGTTGGCATGTGACACTCATAAGTCCATATCTCAACGACAGTTATAATGCTCTCTATGAATGTGGGTTCCGAATTGTAACGATCAAGCATGTCCAAAGAGACCTGCTTACGGTACTTTAACGGAAAAACAGCTTTATCGGAAATTGTTTCGAACCTACCTATATCCACCAAAATCGTTCGAACGGACTGATAAAAGATCTACACTTATGGACTCCCTTGCCATCTCTCTAAATACTAACTTATGAATTTCAAGCATCATACCTTCTTTTTCCCTTTCGTCCTTGAAGGCTTTATACTATTTGTTGGGAAAATTCTACCAACTTAGCAAAATACATTTTTTTGAAACGTCATTTGCTCGGAGAATTTAATTACAGGTTGTTTGTCACTAATTATTCCAAAACCTATTTAATAAACCCCATATCTGCTTTGTTATCTGGAAGCTTGTTATTGATTTCTATCTGCTCTGAGCTAGTCCTTCAAACTGAATATAAAAATCTGTTTTAATCGTTGCCAGCAGCCGTAGTATTAACTCTGTCTCAGATTCGTCTAAAGAGACTCTTAACTTTACCAGCTCGTCTGCTTTTTCGTTCCCGAAAATGTTCCTGTGACCAGGAATCCAAATTATAGACAAACGCAGTTGACCTTTAGAAGAACAAGTTGACCTGTAGCGTAGACAAGGAAAAAAATGCCGTAGTTATTCAAAAGAACTCTGCAGGCATTCTTTATACTTAGTACGTCCGCTTAGAAAATTTTAATTGAGTTTGGTAGTCCATTAGGTGGAGATATAGACTTATTTCACCAATTTCTTCAAAGGGTTGCCTCCTTTCAGTGCACCTATGTGTTAAGATATGGATATTATTACCGGTATTTAAATTCCTTGCGGACTAAGTATCACCTTTTTGCGACGATAGACCCGTTTAATTTGGTAAAAGTCTTTTTCGAAATGAAATGTTGTTGTGGTGGGATTCTATTCCGAATAAAATTTGTTTTAAGAGAATGCAAATCTTTTGAGCGTACTTATACTAGGAGCTTCTCGTACAATTTGCTGAGCTGTTCGGAAAATCAAGGTGAACTCGAATAGTTGGTGTACAATCTCGGTCTATATCCCTCAGAGACTTAGGCGTCAATTATATTTTCATACAATATTACAATATAAAAGCATATTTTGTCACATTTGCTTACTCGGTATAATAAATTTTGAAAATTTCTTATTTTGTATGTTATAACCTTTGATCGTTCAGATAATCAATATGCATAAGTTTAAGTTCCCGCTCAAGGGCCA